ATGATACTCCATTGGAATGACATTGGAAGCATTGAGCAACAAAATTCGGACAAGAGGCTGCGATATATTCAGTGCTGCCTGTAGGATTAATCCAAGCGCTGCCAAACCCATCTTATTTTGATCACTTTTTTGCAAAATCATCTGTGCATGTATGAACAAATATGCCAGCAGTGTATAATTCTCGCGCGGCAAAGAATTTAGCTGGGCTTTCAGTATATCGGCCACCAGGCATCGGCATGGTGACAGCGCTCCACATGGACATTCTGGAAAAAAGCGAATTTCCGTCAAAAATTTTGAAAAATATTGTTCTTGTCTGACAGACATGACGCGTTATCAGATTTCCTCGGATGCGAGAACTTACGAAAGCCTTTCCAACGTGTGGTTGCTTTTGGCACTTTATGACTACTCGGGTTTTTATTAATTTTTTTGCCTTTCACAGAGAGATAGAAATACTGAGGTAGCACCTAATTATTTTGTTCAATGTGAAAAATTCGCAAAAAACACTACCAAAATTCAAAATTTAGGTAAAATACCTGCAGCAATTTTTTCAAAAGTGTGCCGCATTTCATCGGTGAGGATGTGATGAGGTAGCTGGCGCACAAAACGTTTCAGCAAACCAGACGCATCGTGGACATCACTGAAATGGACAGCCTGACGCGAATTTGCCGCTTCTTCCAACTTATCCAAATTTACTTTCGGTGCCGAAATTCGGTGTATTCCTTCAACCTCCAAACCTTAAATGGAAATAGATTTCTTGTAGGCATCTCAGTGGAAATGTGGAATATTCAGTTCTTCCCAAAAATCGGTTTGTGAAAAAATGACGCTGCGGTTCACGAAAACAAAAACGTAATGAGAATTTTGCCTGAGGCATGCAGCAAAAAAAGGGATAGAAGCATGGAAGAACCCAAGGAAAGGGGAGGTGGGGGAAGTGGTGCAAAAGCCCGGGTCTAAAGCCACAACTAAGGTAAAGTAAAGCCTTAAATAGCTCTAAAAAAAATTAACTCAAAGTAGCAGTATTACAAATCTGTTCCTAGTTATTACTTGATTTCAGGATGGGAAGGGACTCTCCCCCTTGCATCCCCCCATGTCCTTTTCCTCCGCCCCTCCCTAGGAGCCCTATTCCCCACTTGTTGCCTCCTCTCTCTCCCGGGAGTCCG